AAACACAAAATGTGAAACCGCAAGTATGCATGTATGTTCGCATGGTCCCAACAAACCTTCATGTCAAATTTGGTGAAGATCCATCAACAAGGGGCGAGTTAGTGGTAAAAAAATGCAAAAACGACCATAAAAACCGCAAAAATCAAAATGCAAAACTGACAATTTGTATGTACCCCCGCATGGACCTAATGAATCTCCATACCAATTTTGGTGAAGATCCATTCACACCCTGCGAAGTAGTTACATGGACATACAACAGACAGTAAGTACTATTATATTTATATAGATGCCATAAATATATTTCAAAGCAGCTGGGAAAAAATCCCCGGGAGTGAATGAGATATAGTATAACAACACCACTGAAATCGAACGAACAAATAATTTAACATAATTACAGTAAACGTAATTGGTGTAAAATCTAAAAAGAAGACATATTTTTATAAATTACTCTTAAACATAAGAGCTGGTAAACATTCAAATCTGACATAACCTATCTAACACATTACAGTTTGTTTGTTAATGAAAAAATTCTATGTTAAAATTTTCGAACAAAATATTCAATTTCGTTAAGAATAGTTTAAATATACCGTCAGAAATAGTTATAATGTCATTAATACTGCTGTACTGAGAGCCTATTATTTTGTGTGCGAGCTGTATACATACACTAATGCACGACTTGGCATATACCTAAAACATATGGGTGTTTCTAGATTAAATCAATGTCACTATTTTCTACAGTTGTCTTAATGCAAAGTGAAACACTCACTAAATCAGTTAATAACTTAAACAGGCCTACATATTGAAAGGAAAGAAATAATTCTAAATTTTAGTTAAAAGCTTAAACAATATTCAATACTGAAGGAAATATTTCTAAATCAGAGAAAAGGCGTAAACAGGCCTAGGTATTGTAGAAAATAGTCCTAATTTAGACAAAAACTTAAACAAGCCTAAGTATTAAAGAAAATAATTCTAAGTTAGTTAACAGCTTAAATAGGCCTAGGTAGTAAATAGAATCGCCCTAAGTTGGTTACCAGCTTAAATAGGCCTAGGTAGTAAATAGAATCGCCCTAAGTTAGTTAGCAGCTTTAATAGGCCTAAGTAGTAAATAGAATCGCCCTAAGTTAGTCAATAGCTTAAACATACATAGATATTGAAGAAAATAGTCCTAAGTTATTCAAACGTTTAAAAAAGGCTAAGGTATTGAATAAAATAGTGTTAAGTTGAACGTTTTTTGCTATAAAAGCCGTGAACTTTTAAACTATCAGATGGATGACTAGTACATTATTTATAATAATG